AGGGTTGAGGGTATAGGGTTTAGGATTTGGGGTTTAGGGTTTAGGGTTTAGGATTTATGGTTCAGGGTTTAGGGTATAGCATTTAGGGTTTAGGGCTTAGGGTATAGGGGTCTTTTTCGAGGTTTACTCCGGGGCTGTTAGGTTTTTGGGTGTTGTAGGGTCCGCATTGGCCTCCTGAAGGTTTTTGTGGGGTGCTGCAGCATGAAGAAGATTTAATGGCACAGGCAGAGGTAGACATTCGGGTTTCGGAGTTTGGGGGACTGTTTCGGGCTTTCAGGAGGTTTCGAACAGGTTCGAGATTTTGGAGTCGAAGCCCGAAGCCTAGACCCTGAAACGGCCTGCTTAGGTGACACTAAACATTGAACCCTAAACACTGAACCCTAAACCCTAGCCCTTAAAACAAAAGCCTAGCCCTAAACCCTGAACCCCAGAATAGACGCTGAAAGGGTCTGCTGAGGTGACTTTCATCCATGTCAGCACCCTGGATGTGAGCTACGCCGGCCGCGGGCACCGAAACCAGGCTCCTCAGCCTCCTGAGGACCAGAGCAAAGACTGGTAGCCCGGAACCGAACCCTCAGCTCAAGACTCTAAAACCCTGAGCCCTAAAGGTCCTAAAGCGTATAATCGGCTCAACCTCCCAAACCCCGGACCCTAAATTCTACACCTAAACCCTCCCTAAACCCAAACTCCCAATCCTCAACTCCCTATCCGAAAGCCTTAAATCCTGAACCACACCGGAAAAGCCTACTGTCTTAGGGACCGTTTCTCTACATAATTCGGCAAAGCGGTTTGGGGTTGAGGGTTTAGGGTTTTTTTGCGGCCACAGGTAAACTCTAAATCGCAGGACCTGCAGCTCACGTCGCCCATCGCCTACGTGCGCAGCAAAGCCCGTGGGGAGCGCTTCATCGCGGACTTCGCCCAAGGCGGGATCCATGTAAGGGTTCGGGGTTTAGAGCTTAGGGTCCTTTCCAAACAAGTTTTTCAAGAGGTATGATTATAATTATGGGTTTTTGATGGCTTTTAGTTGTACAATGATCAGCCTTTTTTAAAGCCGTTTGCGAAGTCCCCTGATCCTTCATGTTGTTTATCATGGGTGTTCTACTATGGACACTCTGTTAAGGTTCTCGAGAGATTCTCGGGTTTTTACATCGTGTGATAGGGTTGTGTAGGGGCTGTAGGGGTTTCACAGCTTGCGATGTAAGGTTTGGGGATCAGGCCTAAACCCTAAACCCTAAACCCTAAACCCTAAAACCCTCCGGGATCAGGGTTTAGGATTGCATGCAGACCTCGACACCCCCGAAGCCTCCAGCCCCAGGCCACACGCGGCTGTTGCCGCTCCCGGAACTTTCAGAGTGTTCATTTTTGGCGCAATATTGCAGTGGTCCTGAAGAACCTCCTCCTTCAAACCGGAGTTCGGCTTGCGTTGCCGTTTTGCGAATCAGAACTCTACGCAGTGTTACAGGCCTCACATGTATCGTGTTATAAGTTATAAGTTCACCGCAAAGCTCTTGCGACAGGCCTCTCGTCAATGAACACCATTGTCCTGAGGCCGGTGGGCTGCGTTGAACAAACTCATGAGGTGCTGTAAGGGTTACCTGTGGCTCAAAAGACCTACCCTTTAAGGAACTGTATATCGAAACCATAATAAGGAATCCTAAGCGGGTTGGTCTTTTCGGCTACAGGTAAGACTTGAGAGCTTAGATTTTCTAGTTTCGGCTTAGGGCTTCAGGGTTGAAGGTTATGGACATGGACTTTAGATCGAACTCTTTTTTTACGTCATTCTTCGAGCGTCAGATACCGTTCATAGTTTCGAAGGAAATGGGATTGAAAACTTAAACCCTAAACCCTCGGCCCTAGACCCTATATTTACTCACAGTTTCGAAAGAATGTGTTTGGGGTGTCAGGCCTTGCTGAAGCCAGGAGCCCGAAGACCGAAACCTAAACCCAGACCCTCAAGCCTATCCTAACCTACCAGAACCTGCTTTTTTGTAGCATCCATGTAAATAAAATAATCATATTGTAGGGTTTTATCCTACAAAGAAGTAGGTTATGGTGGGTTAAGGTAAATCCGGAGCTCTGAACGCCAGTTGTCAAAGTAGTGCAGGCCTGGGCACATCTACGCGCCGCTGGAGGGAACGGCGCGCTGTGCCGGGGATGCCCTTGCAGGCTTAGGGAACATGAAGCCATGGAGGTTACTCTGGAGGAGTCCCAACCCGGACCCACAAGCCTAAATAAACCCAAGCCGAGTAGAGAAAACCCCAAACCTTAAACCCCAAACCGTAGGCCCTAAACCCGAAACCCGAAACCCCTAAAGTCTAAACCCCAGACCACGGCCATGAGCTTTGTGAGCCTTCGGCCCCTGCGCTACGCGCCCCAAACCTGAAGCCCCGTAAACCTTAAACCCTAAACCCTAAACCCTAAGCCCTGAACCCTGTCAAACCCTAAACCCCAAACCCCAGACCCCAAACCTGAAGCCCCCTAAACCTTAAACCCTAAACCCTAAACCCTAAGCCCTCTCAAACCCTGAACCCCAAACCCCAGACCCCAAACCCTGAACCCTAAACCCTAAACCCACCCGAACCCTAAACCCCAAACCTGAAGCCCCCTAAACCCTAAACCCACCCGAACCCTAAACTCCAAACCTTAAGCTCCCTACACCTTAAACCCTAAACCCTAAACCCTAAACCCTAAACCCTAAACCTGAAGCCCCCTACACCTTAAAGCCCCCCGACAGGCTTCCTTCGGCTCTTCCCTCCTCTGCAGATCGGCTGCCCCAGCGTGTGCCGCAGCGAGCAGTTTTTGGGAGTTTAGGGGTTTAGGAGTTTAGGAGTTTAGGGGTTTAGGGGTTTAGGGTTCAGGGCTTCAGGGCTTTAGGGGTTTAGGGGTTTAGGGTCCTAAACCCTAAACCCTAAACCCTAAACCCGTTTAGGGCTTCAGGGCTTTTTGGGATGGGGCTCTCAAGGGTTTTTTCTGGGGCTTTTGGGGGGCTCTGAAGGATTTATGCTGGGGCTGGGTCGTTCTGGGGCTCTTAAGGGTTTAGGGTTTAGGGTTTAGGGTTTAGGTTAAGTTACCATAATAAGGAAACCATATTATTTACTATAGATCCCTATTATGGTAACTTAAATTAAATCCCTTAACAAGAACCCAGTTATGGGGCTCTTATAAGGGCTGATGCTGGAGGTTTTGGGGGGCTCGTGATGGGGCTCTTGGGGATTCAAAGTGGGGCTTCTTGGGGTTTCCTACTTTGTGGGTCTTAAGGGGGTGCAGAAGGGCTGGTAGAAGGGCCTCATCCGGTTTACCTAGACCCAAAACCCAAAACCCCCAACCCTAAACCCTAAACCCGAAACCCTAAACCCTAAACCCTAAACCCTAAACCCTAAACCCTAAAAGTAATCTAGTTCAACTCTGGGAGCCTTTCAGGGCTTTGGGGTTCTCAAGGCTTAGGGTTTAGGCCCCCATTTTCCGTTGTCTTTAGTTCGGAGCTACCGTTCTACGGCCTTCGGCGTTTAAGGATCTGGGCTTGTTACAGCGTGCGGTCCCAGGGCTTTCCGGGGAGCTTCACGGGTTTTGGGTTCCGAGGCTTGGTGAGGCTGAGGCGGGCTCCAGGGTTTCAAGGAGTCTTTTAGGGGTTTAGGTTTTTAGGGTTTAGGGGTTTAGGGTTTTAGGGTTTAGGGGTTAAGGCTTTAGGGTTCAGGGGTTTAGGNNTGGATTCAGGGTTTAAGGTTTGGGGTGCTGCCTAAGTGCATGCTTACAGGGTTTAGGTTTCGGGGTTCATGGTTTAGAGGTGTGGGCAGTAAGCAGCAGGTGGGTTGCCGGCACACCCCATGAGCTATATGGTCTAGCGACTCTAGTGTGCTCGAGATGAACATCTCTGTCCCTTTGCACCACGGCGGAGCGACAGACATGACATGTTCAGCCCCAAGATAGAGAAACCTGCAGTCGAGCGCCAAACCTAGCCGAGTCTAGCACTTAATCATAAACCTGCCGCCCCAGACCCGATTCTAAGCACCACCACTTCACTTCTAAGTCTTGAGCAGTCTGGGACAGGTTCTCTCTGCAGATGCGGACCCCCGTTGTGCCGTAAACGGCTCGATTCACCGAAATGTGCCGAAATCTTCAATTCACGGCACAAGCCCTTCTGCTATCACCGAGGCAGATGTCGATGGTGTCGGTTGAAACCGTGGTGGAGGCGGGAATTGGAAGGAACTGCCGAACCCAAAACCGTAAAAAGGGTGTGTAGTTTGGGGCCTCCGGGCATTTGTTCATTTCAACCTCATCCTGAAATCCAAAACTCACTGAAACGTCGAGCCACACAAGTTCGTATGCTTTCAAGCTCACCAGACCGCCCCAACCCCGAACCCCCCCCCCCCCTCTACGGCACGCCGAGCCCAAAAACCTAAGGGCCCGAGAAGTCCAGGTCCGGAGAGCTCGAGCTATATGGTTTAAGATAGGGGTCGAAATAGTTACATACTATTTTGGGGGGTCCTTGTTA